AACCATAAATGTACATTAAAATGTTCTCTCTCATAAAAAGTGTGTTCTCTGTAAAGGATGTGTTTACTCATTTTTACATAAAAAATCAACAAAACGAGTAATTTGGAGTATTCTACTGAATTGACTCATAATCAGAGTTGAAAGCACATTTTAGACTTTTAACCGAATTGGACTTTAGACTAAAATCATTTTGCTTTGAGTGACTACCTTTGTTATGTTTATTTTATTGATTTTATTGATGATATAAATAATCATGTTCAATTATTTCACAACAAAACAATTATAACACTAATGAAACTTTATCAAATGTTTCAGTAGGTACTATTTCGGCAGTGACAATTTTAGCTCATTTCAAGCAGAACTAAAAAACGCTAGTCAGTACATGACTTGCAAACACAGGTTTAAACAGTTGAGCAAACAAAATCATAACTTTTTCATTACAACACAAAAAAATGGAGAATTTGCAGAAAAATATGTTTTTCAGTAGTGACAATTCACAATGTTACACATTGATTTTAAAACTGGGACACATTTACTTCAAAACAATGGACTTATCATGTGGACATGAGGGACAGGGATGCAGTCTCACTCTAAAATGCAATGGTGTGGCAAAAATAAGGCTCCAACTATGGATTGAAATATATATATATATATATATATATATATATATATATATGTCTATGTACATATATGTCTATGTACATATACGAAGGGACTTCTATAAACACAGTTGTTTGAATCCACCATTGCTGCTAACAACGAATGACTCTGGGATCAGACAGCAATGGCTCCCACCCTCCAATGCCACCCTTGACCTTAAATAACATGCCAGTCACACAGCCTGAAGCAAAGCAGTAAGAGCTCACCCAACAGGGCGATCTGTCATAGGTGTACTTAGACATGCTGTGAGAAATGCTGTACCACAATCATGGCCTGTTTTAGCCCTCACGTCATGCGTCTACTATATAGAGCCGCTTTTCAACACGAGATTTAGATTTGCCGCAGTGTGACAGCCGGGATGCTACAACGGACCGGACAATAGCTAACCAGGGTGGAACTTCCTGGCCACGAAACAAGCAGGTCAAAGGTTGAAAGAAGAAAATATACCTCATACCTGCTATCACATTCACTGCATATCTAAGAGCAATTGTTTTCTTTCCAAACAATGTTCTATTTTTTCTAGCAATGATGCAATATGTTCTCAAGGTTTTGACTTCTTGAAAGGCCATGAAGAAACATCGGATGACACTTTCCAGACAATATGGTCTACTTTTGAATGGCTATTGTATGATGATATATATATATATATGAATCAACTCCAACATTTTTAATGAATGTAATCAAATATTTTTTTATTTCATAATTCTGATATTAGATTAACTAGGACACTGTTGACTGTTTGTGCAATGTTGTGATTCTGTGTTGAGCTGCTAGCGAGCAATGGGGGCAAAATGGGATGGGTGTGAACACCCTACTGAGAACAATTCTCCACAAAGACAGCCATACCAACATAAAATGGAAGTTGCCTTGCTTACAAAGACAAAAATCCAGTGTGCTTCCAATTTTGTAAATTATAAGTTTCCATCAAAGTGTTATTGAAGAAAAAATGTACAGTTCAATTGAGAGACCTCCAACACAGGCAGATATTGCATTTATGGTTACCTTGAGAAGGATTATACTTGACTAATTAGCACAATGCAAACTGTTATGGACTAAAGATAACTGCTGGTACTGTTTTTAGTTATGCAACATGATTTTATCCATTTTGATGGATGACAGAGACAGAAGTGCGCAGAGACAAACTGTTACAGTTTGGCCTTTAGCTCAAGTGTGTCCTTTCTAACACATGAGAGTGGGAATATTGATCAAACCTGCCGATAGCAGAAGTCTGGCCTGTGAGACAAATAAAAGACTAAAACAACTGTACTGATGTGAAATAAAGCATGAGGTATTCCAGTCATTTCATAAGAGACAGATACAGGCACCATGAGCATGTGCTAGCTGCAAAATTTAATGCAGAAACATTTTCACTCGCTTTGGCAGTAGCCTTGTTCATCTGATTAACACCTCTATGATGCTAATTTCTGCTAGCTGGGATTTGTTACGTTAAGACCAAGTTAGCATTCAGTAACAGACATTCTAGCACTGTATATTTAACTTTATAAGGTGTTTGTTTTACAGTAGCTCCTTGAAGTCCACCCGACATAGAAATGGCTGCTGCCATTTTAGATTTATAACTACTGACAGTAATCTAATAGCGATGCTAATGCTAGAGTTTGCAGTTAGTGACGTATCCAGGTCTTCCAGAAGGCCTAAATTGATGTTTTTGTTTCATAAAATTGGTCTCACCAAGATTTGAAAATGAAAATGTGATTGGTCACTTCCTAATCATGTTGGAGGTAAGCGGAACATGAAATGTGTTTTCAGCTCCTCAAGGCCTAACCAATAAGTGAGCTAGCTTGGCTAATTTTTCTTTTCATGTTAAAAGATTTGAACCCATTTGTTTCTAAACTTAACAATGCAATTAGACTATTACTATAATGCCTGCAGTGAGTAAATGCAACAGCTATGATGGTTCTGTGAACAAAATGAATTAAAAATGTATTTATGTCTAGTTCCTAAAAGTCATTAGGCCTTCTCTAAAGGCCTAGCAGGCCCCGTTGGTTCCCCTCTGACAGCATGTGATGCAGAAACCGAAAAACACATAAACAAGTCAAAGACATTTTTGATATTACTCAACCTATTCCAAACTATTCCTTTAAGCTGTTTTTCTCCATATGGAGGCTATGCAGCATGGACTCAAGGCTCCTGCACCAGTAGTGACTATACATTCTGGAGGACACATGTGCTTCCAAAGCTGCAGTGTGTCACTAGTGTTAGCTAGTCCAGGCACCGGGCAGAGTGTGTGAAACTGAGTGTGAAGGGAGTGTGCCATGAGTGTGCATGCAGGGTGTGGGTCTGCTGTGGCAGGCGGACAGTGTGACCCATTATCAGTTGATTAGCAAGAAGTCTCGCCTTTTCCTGCCACCAGTTTTCTATTTGCCCCTAGGAATAATAGGTCCTAATGCACTTTGGCTCACACTTCAAACAGCCAACTGTCAGGAAAGCTAATCTGAGCCTTTTCCCCCCTTCATTCTTGTGTTTTGACAATAAAGATATTCTATCACATCCCATGAAAGTTGGCCACCTCTTGCATTGTGTCTGATATGCTAAAATAATTCGGATTAGTCAAATGGTCTTGGCCCACCCTTTACACCAAGTGCAGGAAGAGAAATACAATGAATTTGTGACAAGGAATTCTGTCCCCCTTGTCACAGTCTGATAATGATAGAATGAAGGATAGGCCAGTTAAATAGAGTTTCCATGCCATATGCTGAACTTTAATAGGAGGAATAGCTTTCTTGAAAAACATGCATTTTTGAAATAACACTTCGTTATACTATGACATTGTTTAAGTTTTGAAACATATGTTTCACTGCCCAGGTCATTTTGAATTCCTCATGGTTGTGAAGTCAGAATCATGAACACATTTACATATGACCACCTATTCACCTATTTAGCTGCCCATTCTTGTTGAAGTGATGAGTGTTGTTACTGCAGGCAGTCAGTATCAGAGCATTTGGAGCAGAAGATGTGGAAAAACGATTAAATGTTGTGCTGTTCCTGGCTGTCCAGCAGGAAATGGATCACTGCAGCCTCTCAAAGGATCCTGACAAGTGAAAGAAGGAGCTGAAGCTTGTTTTATTTCTTCTTTGAATAAGAATTTTAGCCTAAACTTGACAGTTTGTTCTGTGCATCTCAGCCTGGGCTGCTTTTTAAATGAGGCCAATGCAGGGCAGCCCACCAGAACAGATGTCAGCCTTAAAGGCACTGTAACAAATCCAACCTGTTCAATTGTAAGGGATTAAGAGAGGTTGGATAAATGTGATGTAAAAATTTATCTTTGGTATATAAAACTGCTCAAATTATGTGTCACAGCTTGATTTATATGATTTGGCCCATCAGAAAGCTACCATAACTCCACCCCTTTCATCTTTTTTTTTCTTTAAAATAGCATTTTAGTGACAAAATTAGAGTGTAATGTTATAAAAACACCTTTCAAAAACTCGACTAAGTCTTACCTAGCTTCTTCATTTGTATATTGTTTTGTCTTTTGGCCCACCATAAACATGGCACCTTGGTTTGCCAAGACAAAAAGTTTGTTCACCTATGGTATAAGCAAACTTAAGAAAATGTAGAATAAGGAACATTTAAAAGCTGTTCATGAGTAGCTTTGATAAGCAGTTTTAATGGTAACAAATATAACCTTACATGTGTTTTTGTAGCATTTATGTATTTCGTAATAATGAAAACTGGAAAACATGTCAGCTTATGACTGAGATGTGCTGCAGTGTTGAGTCTGTCACGTTGTATTCTGGGCGGTTGTCGCTGTAGCCTATATCTGTACAGAGGAAACCCACCAGAAAACAACCGCAAAATCAAAACTATCCTCAATTAGCAGATCCAACAAAAGAAAACAAGGAACAACAATTAAGGGGACTTCTTTTCTTTCTGTTCAGAGAGAACGAAAAGAAAGAAAAGGAAATGAACACAAGGCAAGGAAGAGGACAGAGAGGTGGGGGTGAAGGAGAGAGTGGCTGGAGCTGTGCTGATGATGATGTAGGGGTTTCATCTGTCAGGGGCATCCGTGTGGGGAAAGCGGAGGCCGGGTCAGTGGCGGCGCCCTCCCGCAGGCCTGCTGACAGACCAGGGGCAAAATAACGGCCCTGATTAAAGCTGCTGCGCTCAGGGCGGAGGGCCAGCTGTATGGAAACACAAGCCCACCAACACCAAACAAAACGAGGACGCAATCAGAACAGTGACAAAACGGTCAGCGTGACAGGAATTAGCCCTCTGCGTAACATTTCTGGGAAGATGTACTAATTGCTTCAATTGTTGCCTTTTAAAGGCATTCAAGTAACTGTAACAGTCTTCCTGCACACAGCACAAAAGAGGCAGTGTTTAGAAAAGCAGATGGAAATACATTTATTGTTCTTTTTGTCTCAATTTTCACTCACATCATTCCAAACTACATAATAAGACAATGTAAACAGTGTACAATTGGGTTTACCAACACTTTAAAACCTTTAAAAACTCAAATGCCTTTTTTAAATATAAGACTTCCACCCTGGTTACTGCTTCTTACATTCCTTCAGCTTTGTTTTTGCCTTTAAGGAAAAAAAAAGAAAAAAAAAAGAAAAACAAAAACTAAATTTAAGGATTATTCACATAATTTAATAGAGACAGAATCTCACCATTTCCACAGCTCGTAATCCCTAATTAACACAACTCAAAAGGCTGTTCTATCTCTCACAACAAAACATGCAATATAAATGCCTAGTGTAGAAAACATGACCCCATTCCTCGTAAGCCACTGATCTGAAGAGAGCAAAAATGCCTTATGAGGAGAAATCAAGAACAAATTAATATAACGGAACCACAAGTATGAGGCATAATGTGATTAGAGTACACTGTCCCCTTCTGGCCATTACACAAAAGGACATTTGTTTAAAACATGCTGATACAGCAAATGAAGTAAAAAAGTGAACGGATATAAATATTATTTTTTTAAAAAAGAAAAAAGTATTAAATAGACACATTTGATAAATCTAGAGCAGAGAAAGTGGCGTCTGCCTGTTATATATCTAAAAACTGAATTTGCCATGCATTTTCTGTAAACCTCACTAAATGCCACATCCCATAAAAGAAGTCATCTGGAAGAGGCATCTGTGTTACATAATCTGGTGACATTTTACTGAAGGGGAGCATTTGTAAGACTACATAACATTTGCATAAACCTTAATAAGCCTTAATGACAACTGAGAAACCTACATAAACATTTGTAAAGACAACTGTTTATTCCAACAAGAGTCAGCTGACATAAAGGCTGCTTTGTCAGTTTTGTTCATTTCACCTCAACTGACGCTTGTTGGAATGAGCCTTTATAAAAGTCTGTATAGGTTTCTATCAGTTGACAAGAAAGGCTTATGTAGGTAGCATCATAAAAGCTTCCCTTCAGTAAAATGTAACCCATTATTTTATATCCAACATTCTATACAGTATAATATTGCACTTGAATTGCAGTTGAATCTCAAAAAGAAATACAGTAAATATACACTGATCAGCCATAACATTAAAACCACCTTCTTGTTTCTACACTCACTGTCCATTTTATCAGCTCCACTTATGATATAGGAGCACTTTGTAGTTCTGCAGTTACATACTGTAATCCATTTGTTGCTCTGCATAGTTTGTTTACCCCCACAGGACCACCACAGAGCCAGTATCATTTGGGTGGTGGCTCATTCTCAGCACTGCGGTGACACTGACATGGTGGTGGCGTGTTAGTGTGTGTTGTGCTGGTACAAGAGGATCAGACACAGCAGTGCTGCTAGAGGTATTGAACAAAGTGTCCACTCACTATCTACTCTATTAGACATATCTACCTTGTTGGACCACGCCGTAGATGTAAAGTCAGAGAGAGTAGCTCATTTGTTGCTCCACAGTTTGTGTTAGTCATCCTCTAGACCAGTGGTCTCCAACTCTGGTCCTGGAGAATACCTTTCTGCAGAGTTTGGTTCCACCCTTAATCCAGTAAACTGCCCTGCCCCTTACTTAACACTAATACATCTGATCCAGCCAATAAGGGACTTGGGAAGAGGTTAATTAGATGGAGCAGGTGGGGCAAACTGTTTGGAACTAGGCTCTACAGGAAGATAGCTCTCCAAGACCAGGGTTGGAGACAAAATCTAGTTCAGTGGTCACAGGATGCTGCCCACAGGACGCTGTTGGCTGGACATTTAGTTGTTGGACTATTCTCAGTGCAGCAGCAACACCAAGGTGTTTAAAAGCTCCAGTAGCACTGCTGTGTCTGATCCACTCGTACCAGCACAACACTAACACACCATCACCAGACTCAGTGTCACTGTAGTGCTGAGAATCATTCACCATCCAAATAATACCTGCCCTGTGGTAGTCTTGTGGTAGTTCTGACCTTTGAAGAACAGTGTGAAAGGGGGCTAACACAATATGCAGAGAAACAGATGGACTACAGTCTAGAACTAACTGTAGAACTACAAAGTGCACCTGTACAGTAAGTGGAGCTGACAATGAGTGTAGAAACAATAAGGTGGTTTTAAATGTTATGGCTGAAATTAAAAAATAATAATAATAATAAAATAAAAAAATAAACAAAACAAAAAAGAAAAAAACAAACATTCACAGTTATCTTGGTCCTTTTAAAAAAATGCATATTTTTCTTTCAAGTTATGGTGCAAAACAGGCCGATAACCTTTCACTTTGAGAACACTGAGAAAATAAATTTTACCAGTTATCCCATTTGATTGTCTCTAATATAGGACAGAATCCTGTCATGCTGTACCCTTTCCTCCCTCATCAGACTGGACGTCCTGTGACTGCTTTCCTCCAAAAGAGTAGTTAGGACCCATTGAGAAACGGCAATGGGACTTTGGTGAACGAAGGCTAAAAATAGTGGTGCATGAGGGGAAAGGGTCGGGGGCTTACCAGTACAGAACTGAACTCCCTCAGTCCACTGACAGGAAAAGGAAACACTGTCAAGTTTTATTATGTCATCCTCTGAAATAGCTTTAGTGAATGGATTTGCGTCAGAGTCCCACCTCTGAAGCCACTGTGCATTTTTCATTAAGGCATTAGAGACTGAGTGAACACACAACCTTCAGAGAAACTGAAGACTGCTTCAATCCCTTTGTATATGAACTTCACCTACATGTTTGAGGATACTGGGTATTACCGCATGCAGCGTTCACACAGAACTGCAGTCCAAGATGCTCCTTAGATGGTCATTTCAGAATAAACTCCAAGGACCGCTACCAGACTGCAAGCAGCACAGATCTTCCACCAGCCTTCTGGTGATCTGCTCACTCATTAGCTGATTGACTGAACACAGCATGCCTCTAGTCCAACAGGAGACAGACACAGAGCTTTCACCAGAGAGAAAGAAAGCTAATAATGTGCTGGAAAAAGGTCAACCGCCATCACTGGATTTTCGACAGTCCGCTTGCCAGTAAAAGCCTGAAGGGGATTGCAGATCGGGTCACAGTGAAAGGCAGCCGATGGAGACCTATAGAGGGCAGAGAGTGAGGGAGAAGATGTTAGATTGCCATCTTGGACATGGAAAAGAAAAACGGAAAACTGATTTTTAAGCATCAGTGATTAGTTTGCATTATGATAATACAAACTTTTAATTCTCCTACTGATCTCTCTTACAGTTAAAACAGGCACACCCATTTGCACAATGCAAAAAGTGATATCCTGGCAAGTGAAAACATCCACCAAAAACTGTGTGAATATATGTATATAATATTCCTCATTATGGTGATAGCTGTAAGAATATTACAATTATTCTACTAATTTCTAGATGTTTAAAATCTTTACGTCTTAAGTAATATTTTATCTAGAGAAGCTCTTATTCTTTTGTTCTATTCAAATTATTATTTGCCAATAGAATAGCACAATTTAGTTAGATAAAAGACTTAAAGGGCCAATTTCATGTAAAACTGAATTTTTGTTTTTTGAAATAAGAGTATGATGTAGTACCCTGTCATACCACATCACATCCACATATATGGAATTTAAGTTGCAAAAACAACCTAGATTGAATACTTTCAATACATTTTTTGTGATATTAAAAAAATACTACATTTACATACATCTGCCCGTTCAGCCTACATCTGTTTAGCACAGCTAATACACAGTGTTGCTATGAGAAATGTTTTAAAAATGTTTAAAAGGGGCGCCAATCAGAACATTGGTCATTTGGACAATTCAGTCTTAAAGGCACTAATGAAAAGCAGCCAGATAAAAATTGATATTGAATTGAAAAATTGAGCCTTTTTGTTTAAAAAAATAAAAAATAAAAAAAAACACACAAATCTATCAAATCAAACAACAGAACTCCGTCAGGGAAATAAACGGAAAAAACTTGCTGCAAGATACCATCTGAGCAGGGTTGGTGTGTGTGTATGCCTATGTGTGTGTTGTGCAGCGTTGTTTGTGTAGGGTGGAGGGCAGAGGGTGTGTGTGCTGCAGAAGGGGCCTGACTGCTTAGTCTTCAGGCCCCAGAGGGACTCTACTCCCCTTCTGTCCCCTTTCGCTTTCCTGAGAGAATTGTGCTCTTTGTATCTGAGGAAAGAGACCAGCCCATAGGGAAACACGGCCTGCTCTGGGAACACCTAACCCAAAACATTGGCAGCTCCAGTGCAACATGCCCCTTTTCACAGAGCTGTCAGAACAGCACAAAGGCATAATCCCACTGTGGGTACTGATATCAATCCTTTTTTCACACTTTGCTGAGGTACATTCTTAAAAATAAATGTTCCTCAACAGTTCTTGGCTCAGTTAAAAAAAAAAATCATCAAATATAATCTAGAATCTTATTGCAAACCTCTTTACTCTGCATATATATATGCAACTGAAATATTAACATATTTATAGACATGTTTACTTGTTTTTAGCAAATCTATCTAATAATTCTTATTTCATTCACTCATAAGCTTATTTCAAGAAATACTGCGGCTACTTTTCAATGCCTAGCCTTTTTCAATGCTTAAAACAAAATTATCAGCAAAATAATTAATAAGACAGATAAATTACCAATATATCAACTGGATTAAAAAAGTTCTAAAATAGTTTCTCCATTAATCATCCACTGAAAGGTTCTTTGTGGAGTCAAAAGCAGTTATTCTATGATATCACTCCAAAGAACCCTTTTGGCACCTTCACTTTTAAGCATACATTTTGACTACCGAGGCCAAAACCTATTCTAGTATTCATTCCAACATTTGACAAATTGTAGCACAATGGAAATTGAGAGGAAAAGTTATTAAACCGCATGCAGACATCAGGCATGGCCTGAAAACAGAGTTGTTAAACTGACCGAAGGCACGGATGAGCTCCCTCTGCACAGCCCAGGTGACTGTGTTGATGAGGCAGGCGGAGGTGAGACCAGCAAAGAGCATATTGTACAGGAAAACTATGTGGAAGTTCCCCAGCCAGTTATAGCGTCCAAAGTCCCCAAGAAGATCAAACCTTGTGATTCCTTAATACAACCAAAGTAGAAGAAAAGAAAAAGAAAAACAATGATTTTTTTTAGTGAAAAAAACAAAAATGAACAACTGATTCACACAAATCTCCGCTTTTTGTGATTATAAACCATACTTGGTCATTCTTTCATTGTGACGGCCTGTGGTGTCCCATGACTTTGAAGCCATGAAAATGAGCTCAAAATAAGAATAAATCACAGAAAGCAGACATCCGTTTATACCCTGTTCTGTTCCTAAACTAACCAGTAAAAACGATGATAGTTCCTCTTTATTAATTTTTCTTTTAATGATTTTTAGTAACGCTGTGCAAGAAAAAACAGCAGTGAATTCACAGATGCTGAATGAAAAAGTTTAAACTTTGTAAATTGTATTTAATTAAATACATAAATACACATTTTATATAGATAATAAATCTTGTTCCAAGGCTTTGTCTGGGGTGTTAAAGAAACATAAAATGAAAAAAAAATAGAGGTAAAAAAAGGGCAGCCAATCAGAACCCTGGTCATTTGCATATTTCAGTCTTAAAGGTACTAAAGCAAGTGTTTTTGAATTACTTCTTGTATGGATATCTTAAAAGAAGAAAGACTCTCTTTTTATATTTCTGATAAATTTGCCAAGGTACTGACAGCTTCATATGTTGCAAAAAAGACTGTGTCAGTGGTGTTACTCATGAAATAAGTGATTTTAAAATTGAAATAACAATGAATGTAATATTTGATTTTTTTTTCCTACACAAAATGTGACTTTGAATTAAAGTGGCTGCAGACCATAATTTAGAAAAGCTCACATTTGAGTAATTTTGTCAGTGGTGTTACAGCTTAACTCAAAATAGCAGACTATTTTGCACTTGAATTACATATAAATATTTGTACATAGTTTACCACCACAATGGTAAGATTTTCCCAGTTATTATAGTTTTAACTTGTCCTCAGGCAGATAATCTCATTTTCACTCCCTCAACTTTACTCCTTGTCATCATTGCAGCCCAAGCCACACTGAAATGCTTGTTTTCTGCTAAACTAAATTGCTGTTTGCAGTGCCCCCTTGTGGACAAACATGGAACACAAACAATATTCTTGTGATTGAAGACACCTTTAGTTTTGCATCAGACTTCACATCCAATTTAACACAAACAGACAAAGCACACTGTTTTTATAGGAGCTCACCCAGAGTGCGGGAGAAGACAGGCAGAGCTGAGCTGAGCACCAGGAGAGATACACAGTTCCCTATGATCTGTGGAAATACACACCCACACCCACACACACACACATATTCAGAGTGTGAGAATGTGCATGTGATAATGAACGTGTGAGGGCGTCTGTACCGGGGTAAAAGTGAGCGTGTGAACTCTCTGTACCTGTGTGAGGGTGGTGTCTTGCGTGCGAGGCAGCAGGCTGCTAAATAGAGGTGAACTGTAGAAACCCACCACTGAAGACACCATCAAATACCTGACACGGCATCTTAAGGTCTCCAACACAGTACAAAAGACTACTTTCTAATGAAAGCATGAGCTAAAGATGAACAAATTAAGATGGTACAAATAAGGCCTCAAACGGCAAAACAGCTTTATTACAATCTGATTTAACTTTTTTTTTTTTATTCTCATAGTTCTTTTATGAATGTGGGAACAAATGGGCCAAGAAACACATTTTGAAAAGCTTCAGTGATAGAGAGGTTTGGCGATGTTCATTTTTTACGATTGCTTGTCTATTTCTAAAAAATACTAATATGTAGTTGTATGCAAAAGTTTGAATACTCCTTGAATTACTTGTTTTGTTGATTTTCTCAGTATAAATAAGTGAACACAGCCTTTACAGAGAACACACAATGATTTTTTTCTGTAAATTTTAGTGCACTTAGCGCTCCAGTTTTATCTAGTTTACCATACTGGAAAAAAACATAAAACCTGAAATAACTTTTGCATAAACCATATATGTTTTTTTTCCAATATGTTAAATTCAACAAACAGGCAGTAATTGTGCATTAAAAAAAATGCAGAAATGTGTTCTATGTAGAGGATGGATATTAATGTTAACTTGGAAAAAATAAACAAAATATAAAATCTGACCAGGAATTACATACGGCAGGATTATATTTGGCCTATATTTGAAAAATAGTGGCATTGGATAGTCCAGTGCCCAGTGATGATCAGATATGTTCAACTTAAATATCTTTGAAAGAAACATTCTCCGCTGTGCAAAAACGTATTAGCAGCTACTTCATTAGAGTGCCTGTTGTATGTGAGTGGTGTGTATGAACTGATGGCTGTTTTTGATTCTAAATCACCTGAGCCTGATGATAAATCAGTGATTTGTTTTGCAACATACGACCTAAATGAACAACTGTGAGAAGGATACAGGATAAGGACCACCTGCACAGCAGCCCCTAGGGAGCCAAACATTGAGAAGGACGCTAGTCCCAGATGGGGGTCCTGTGATTAAAAAAAAAGAAAGAAAAAAAGAAAAAAGAACTGGTTAGTGGTTGAGAAACATACGTAAAAAAACATACGTAAAAAACTAACATCATTAAATATGGCAACAACATGCAGAATGTAAATATCTCATAAAAATGTTTAAATACTTTAGAAGATATGCCATCACCATATGACAAAGTTAATAGTTTTGTGTAACTACAAAAAGTGAATGCCACCAACTTGTAAAAATTTCTGCACCATTAAATTAACATAAAAAAAAATTAAATATTCAGAGTGGTTTGATGTGAAATGCTTAGTTCTAAAGAAACTTGCACAGTCAGAATTGTGACAGGAACCAGATGCCTAAAGAGTTTATTGGCTCTAAAAGACACCTCAGACAAAGTTGTTACATGAAAAGGTTACAAGTACACTGCCTGTTGCCTGAGACAGTTAGAAGATTGGCCTAAAATGAATTTTGCAACACATATTCATAGCAGAGACATATACAAAGATCACTGCAAGGCAAAAATAGTCCTCAAAAAAACTTTTCTTCTTACCACTAATTTACTATTATCAACATTACATGAAGACACATGGTGGTTTATTGGTGGTTTTGGAAAGTAAATAATCTGGCTTGTGTTGTAGGTGTTGTGACACCTGGTTTCAAACACTGTTACAAAGTTTCTCTGCAATGAACCATTTCACATCAAACCACTTTAAATGACTTTGTTTACATCTCAACTATTGAATTTGGCTAAAATCTTAATAAATTGGTGGAATTTCCATAGCATATCACTTTTATGGTTGCACAATGTTCATCTCTTCACCAAAAATCTCACCTCCATTCCTCTGGGCATCGCAGACTCATCAATGAGCAGCTCCAGTACGTGGAAACACACCATCAGCACACACACCACCTGAGCAGCAACACCAAGAGCAAATAATCACATCTGAACAGTCAAAGAACAATATCCATGACAAATAAAAGACTCCTCCATACCGTTAAAGCCAACAGCAGCAGCATGACTAGCGGGTAGCCCAGGTTACGTTGCCATGGTGATGCCTTCTTTCGTGTCTCTACAGAAGAGAAAGGGTGAGGGACGACAGTGAGTGAGGTACAGTTGGCTTTTGATTTGAAATAACAGTTGTACTTGAGAGGAGAGAATTCTCACCCAGAGCCATGCGCTTAGCCTGCACGCTCACAAACTGCCTCTTCATCGCCTCCATATTCAGGCTCAGCCAGCAGGAGGTGTTACCTGAGAGACAGACAGAGGATAAACACGTTTTTGAATAAACAATTCTTGAATACCCCAAACAAGAAAATATTATACTTGGTTATGAAAAAAAAACAAAAAAAAACAAAAAACAACATGACTTAAAAGGACGATGTCGTCAAACCGAAACGTGTAATTATCGCTACATCTGCTGTAAACATGTCTGCACCCGGCAGAGTTTTTCTGGTTTAAAGAATAGAAAAACCCTCCTGTGATGACGTATCTTGAAGGTGGGAAGAACTCAAAAATGACTTGTCAGGTAAACAGGTCAACAAGCTAAAAGCTAAAGTTAGCAAGTAGCTAACTTCGTATCTAGATACTTGACCTCAGTCTGGCCTCTCTTCTCTAGCTGAAAAGGTAAAGCACTTCACATATTGCACCCACTTTGTGCTGAATAAACACAAAGATCACTGCTCTCTTTATGATTTATTCGATGACCAAAGTCAGAGTTACTCTAATGCTAGCTTGCTTATATTTATTATTCTATAGCTCAGTTCTTTGGCTATCAGGATTGCTTGACACTACAGGAATTCCCCATTATGTATTTGCATAATGCACGGTGGGTACTGCAGTGAGAAAACATCAAATAATTAACAAAAACATGACAACAAAAACTGCGAATTCTGCCAAACTGATAAGGCTGAGTGATGCAATGCCACACAATACTGCATAACATATTAAACTAGTTTTAGGTCAGAATGCCTCTTTAACAGTCATTTACTGCAAGCTGCTAGGTGATCTGTATCTGAATGACGTGGTGATTTACCTTTATTTTAGGCATATATGATTTAACACCCAATCAGCTGACCTACAGAATGATAAGTGTGAGTCGCACAACTTATACTGTACAAATTTGTAATGTTTTTGTTTTAATTGTTCCCAGATATAGGTCCATTCAGATGTGACCACTTCACTTAACATAAGATGCATTATCAGATACTTCTGTCCTGACATTCTGTACAGATCAGATTCAAAAACATTTTTAAAAAGATAATTAAAAAACGCTTGCATTTTTTCTTAGAAACATCACATTTTTTTAAGCACCTACTTGAGTAAAGAAATACCAAGACCCTTTTAGATAACCATATATGCGAATAACAAATGCCCATCCGTAACGAGTACTGTGATATGAAGAGTAGAGTCTTAGAAGCCCCACGTCACCCACACAACACTCACTGTTGAGCTTCCTGGAGAGAGAGGCCTCCTCGAACAAAGCACAGTTCATTGTCTCCTCCACATTCTCCAACAGCTGAGCGCACACAAAAAGATCAACTCTGTCAGTGCACACTGAGCTTACTTAGACATTACTGCACTCTAAAAAGTTACATTTATATGATAAACAGGCTCTTGGGGGTTATATTCCATAAATCTTTATGTTGCTTACTAACTGACAGTTTCTCAGCATGCACATAACGGTTGAAATAGCTGACCACAGCTCAATATTTCCCTAACAGATTTCAAAAGCTACTTAGTATACTTCACATGCTTACCCGTGGTTTAACCAATAAGCTCCCAGTGACGCTAAACATGCGTGACATTCCAAAGGGCGTACACACTGTTGAGCCAGAAAAGGAGAGGAAATGATGCAACACAAAAACGTCACACAGCATGAACCACAATTAAACTTGAACCAAATAGACCAAAACTACTAACATGCACCATGTATTCAAAAAGCATCCTCACAAGACTTTCAAGTATCAGAGATGTACTTACACAGTAGCAGCAGCACTCCAAACAGAGAGATGCAAGAGTAGAGATAGGGCAGGTAGTACTCCCACAGGTCTGAAAGAGAGCACAGTAAACAAGAGAGTGAAATGAACAGCTAAAACCACAAAGGCTTTGACTGAGCAGAGGAAGAGTATTTAGACAGTTTAATGCGTTGGTCAACATCCAGTAAACAGTCCTTTGCCAATTTTTGAGAAAATAGGGATAAAAGGCAGTAAGCACTTATTTGTTAAGGCAGTAAGCATTCATTTGTTAAACAAATAAATATACAAATAAACAAACACACTGTGTGTTAGCTTAGTTGTTTCCAAAGCTCTCTACCATCTAGATCTTAGTTTCTCTAATCAATCCTTCATTAAATTAAATCAGACTGAATTTAACATATCCATACAGTGGCTGGAGAGTGAAGTAACGAAACCTGTGCTCTGCTTACTACATTCTTCTAACCAACATATCATTAACTATATTAAAAAAAAAAAATTGTTTTACTGCATTAATGATCATATGTACTTATTCTAGTGTTACATAACGTTTTTACAGACAACATATTTAATTCCGAGATAAAAAGTGTAAAACAATTTTCATGGCTGCCTAAAACTTTTGTACAGCACTGTACATTTATCTCTTTGGTGAAAAAATACAAAGAGATAAAGCATTTTTTGTTTACACACACTGGATGAATCCTTCATTGTTTTTGAGCCCTTCCTGCTGCCTGTACGGTCGATTACCTAGATTTTCCTGTGCTTAGAAAAGAACAGAAACCCACTGACTTTAGCATCTGCCCATTGCCTTCTTGTCTACTGCGTCAACGGATTTTCTGTTCTTTTTTGAAGAACTGGGTAATGTAATGAATTTATTGTTCATTGACTGATGCTAGAGTGAAAGCAGATAAAGTACTGCTTTACTGATTTATTCAGTATCTAAATGTTCATTTTCTTCAGAATCATTCAAAAAAGGAAGTCTATGGTGAAATGTGTCAAAAAAAAAAAGAAAGGTTTCATTTCACCCACCATAGAGACTCTCCCTGGCTGTGTTGTCATGGAGGAGTGCTGATGCCACCCACACAATGCCAAGCACCAGCAGAGTGAGGAGAAGCAGCATCACTGCAGTCTCATAAACTCGGGCCATGACACCCTGCAACAGGAGCACACAGGCACATGGGTATGCACATGTGTATACAGACTGACAAATGGAGCATTCGCAATATAGGAGTTAAAAAGAAAGAGAAAGACAAAAATGATTACCTTTTTGGACCCTGTAAAGCCTTCTGATTCGGTAAAGAAGTAGGCGAAAGGCATAAGGAAGACCAGGGAGAGGTTGGAGAAGAGGAAGACCAAGTTCCATAGGCCTAAATTGCAAGCGAAAGACAAACAAACAAATAAACAATCAATCAATAAGTCAAGCATTACAGCTGCAACAGTAACATAACCTTTCAGAAACACAGTTGTAGGTTTTAAAGTTACCACTAGAGGGCAAAACTCAGTCATAATGCAACTCGAACAAAATGTATTGCTTTGTTCTGTTCTGGCACTTGACTTAACAGATGTTAATGTTGTGTCTTTGTAGTTTATGTTGTTTGTCTGCATTATGCAAAACCTATTACATAAAACATTATGTAAAAAAGAAAGTTTTGGCCCATATCCATTACACATTAACATAAAGGGAAGTGTCCTACATTATTGCAGGCTTATTAAAACAACTTGTGTTGCCTTGGAAACGCTGCCAGAACTTTAGTTTTTGTTGCATCCAGCATGTGCATAGAGACAGTGTTCACTGAACCACAGTGGGGTAATGCAGAGATCATTTAACACACACTCTCTGAATTCCTCACATAACACTGAAGTACTACTATGTTACTAACACCTTGGCCATGGCAGTTAGAGCCAGTGGTAATACGCATCAGTCATGGTCATGTGATATGAGCACACTCCTGGCCTTATGTTAAAAACAAGTCCATGTTATTAAGGCTGTCACAATCGATTAAATTAGAAAACTTAATTTGAAGGAAAAAAAAAATGCTTATGGGTTATTGATGATTAATTGGCACTTTGCACAAATAATGTATGTTTAAATTGTATCTTTCCGGCCTCCCTTACTCTGAGAAACCTAGCCTGTATACACACCCATACACTAGAAAAACTCACAAAAAATATCAATGCTGTGGATGGTCTGTTATTGTTTAGTTAAGATCATTTTTATTGTCGGACTTATAAAAACTCTTGCTTACTCAATTAATTGTTATATGTGTGACTGGGAAAGTGAGATGACCAAAATGGGATATGGCCAAATAGGTGGAAAGGAACGGTAAACATGGGTTCCAAATGTGTGAGACAACTTGTGAAAATGCTTCTATTTTGCATTCTTCTCACTTTAATTTAATATTAATTTTTTCATTACAAATTATATTATCAGCAAAAGCATTGAGTGAGAAGTAGAACCTTTTACATATTTGCATATTTTACTTGGTATGCCCCCTTTAACTTGACTGCATGACTGCAATGACTGCATACACTTATTTATGCAAAACTATCTTTTTGTCCAATTTCTGACTGTTTTGTACAAAGGTCTTAACATTGTCAATGTCACAAATTTGCTCAAAAGAAAAAAAAATTTATCAACCTAAAAACAGTGTGGAATCACACATTTCCTCCTGCATTTTGCACATACATATGTATTTTCAAATTCTGTTTGTTTCCAGGTTTACATGAAAAAACGGTGGATTTTCAGTGCAGTCTAAGACATTTGGATCCCCCTGTATATGTATTTCCACCATATCTGGTCACCTCTCATTTCCGGTCATACACATAATTCCAATCGGAGGACACCATTAGGTTTGGTGTTGGTGAGTGTGTGCTTACCATGTATAAGAGAACCGTTGAGCCACTGCATGTAGTAACTGTGTGGGAAAGTGAGCAGAACTTCATTGGACAGGATTGAGATTGGCAGGAGGAGTACTGCACACACGGCCACTGAGAGAGTAAACGTACAAAGCCACAGCCTAGACAGCACACACACACAAAAAAACTGAGTGTCAGATGTACAAATTGACATGAGTCCAGCTGTGAAAGGTGTTCAGTGCCACGGTGGAGGGCCAAAGGCCAAACCAGGCCAGATATTAACATTCAGAAAAAGCAGATAAAGCAGAGAGAAACTTGCTTCAGGTTATTACTGAAACACACAAGCTTCAACTTTCACATTCAACAGTTGATTACTTACGCAATTTTGTTGACCGTGGCGTCTTCAATATCATCTAGAAAAATAGAGAGAGAAAAAAATGACATTGAAGTCAATATCTATCTATCTATTCTTTTGTGTAGAGGTCAGAACATCATGACATGCAAACTAACAAACTAACCATTAGTCAGACAACATTCACGAAGGATTATGTCCAATGTTATGCTATGAAACATACAGTAATACAATGAATGTGCCCCACATAGTGATTCTTCTCTGCCTGTGTGTAAAGGCCCTTATGGTATAGCACAGAACATAAATCAGTGACAGAACGACAAAGAGAAATAAGTGGTCTCAAAATAAAAGTGCGGTTCCAAGAACAAATAGTTCTAGTCTGAGATTGAACTGCAGTAAATTATAAATGACAACATGGCCCCTCCAGGAGGAAATCAGAAGTACCTCTCTCACACATGCTAAGAAAAACAGAACTTGTGCAATTCGAATGAGCCGCAAGGCAGAAACACATGAGAACTCGCGCAGTGAATAACAATGTTCTAAAAAGCAAAGCAGGTTTTTGCACATTTCCTGCCAAAAAGCTACTAAGCAACTTGGAATACCTCCAGCCAATCCAGTACGAGCCCAGAAACTCTTAAAAGTTTTCCCAGCTTCTACAGCTGGCTCCAATATGGACAAAATTCTGGAACGCTGACGCACGTCCAGCAGTGTGGCCACCTAATCCAAACTGGACAGTAATGTTTTTAACAGCGCATTAACGATTAACATTTTATGATGTGCGTCTCTACGCTGCAAAAGAAAATACGCAGCTGTACAAAGATGCTCACACAAAATATGGCAAAACAGACACTTCTGAAGAGACATAGTAAGGAGTAGGCACAGACTGTTCTGCTATGTAGCTAATGAAAGAGAGAACACAGAGGACTTTGTGTCTAGGAAAAGACCCTTGGGGTGGCTGAATGTTGCGAGGCCACAGGCAGTACTAGGTAAAGGAGGCCGTGTTTATCTCCCAGGAACATTCCTCACGCCCTCCCCCCTGTTGACAGGACCATTGCGTAACGCCATTCCTCTGCCATCAGGGACACTGATCCTGCATGTCATTTTAGCGTCCCTGTTCAAGAGCCAGAAGCTTCTACACGCGTAAACTTCACTTAGAGGAGCAAAGGGAAATAGGTGTGCAATGTATTGTGCAAATTAAGTATATGGTGGAAATCAAGCATCAGGTAACACAAAGCACACAGAGCAGGGATGCAATATGGGAATTACAGGCCAAATGCAATGTTTGATATTTTTCCATGTATGTCTGGCTGTGTGGATACAGGAAAAAAAAATGTAGAAACTGGGGCTAAATCCACCTAGATTAGTGTTACAAGTAACATTTATTTGTAGAGGCTTACAAATGCAGTAAAAAAGATATAAAAAGCAGAAATTTTAGCTAGCGTTGGGCTGTTTAAAATGATAATGTATTTCAAAATTATTATGTGTCCAAGTTCTATTCCACAACTGAACATCCAAATGAACACATGCCTCTCATTTATATTTTAGTGGTGCTAACTGATTGGTGGTGTGACAGCTCAATAAGGGGAAAAATCAGAGGCAAAAACTTCCAAAAAATTCAGAAAAATATGATCGTTGCTCAGCAACAGCCAAGTGCTACCATCTAAAAGTGCGTCAGTGTTTAAGTCCAGAATCAAACATGCACTGTGGTGAATGGAACTCTTATAACGCTAGCTATGTTAATGCCAACCAGCTCCTCTCTTGATCGCTTCAAATTTATTGAACGATGGCTTGAAAATCATGTACTGCATTCATTTATTTGGTGACCATGTAAGCAAACTAGACTTTTTCTTTATTTTCAATTTTGGAATAATGCAGGATGAGACAGCACAAAAGCGTCATAAATGCTTTTACGTCACTTGCGATTCCGCCCAACCCTAATTTTAGCACTGTAGTCCAGAGTCGTCTAAACATTCTGCACTTCAGGACTGCAATGCCATCAAATACTGGTTTGAAATATCAATCAATCCTAAACATCTATGTGATGCGAAAACAACAATTTAAGCAAACTTCTGCCGACTCTGATTATCGCTGTGCAACACTGAAGGAACATGTGACAAAAGTACTACTTAAAAATCAAACATCCCTCATAAAACTTCAAAAGAAAACAAAGTGCACCCAAATTTTTCACAGGCATTGTACAAGATCCAAAGCATCAATAAAGGCGAAAGTTTTATGTGAATTTTTTAAATGCCCTCTCTCTCTACTGCTTTGTGGTATGGCAGTATTGTAGAAATGAAATTTATGTGAGAACGCAGCTTGCTGTGCATTGCCCAAGGCGGCTATACGTACCTGTGACAAACTCTGCATTTTTCTTGAAGTGAGTGAGAATGAGGTAGGACAGGATGTATAGGCAGACAAAGAGTTGCACGCAAATCTGTAACAGACAAAAAAATGAACAATTAATGTGTGCAAAAAGTGTCTAAAAGCCTTTTTCAATCAAAACATGGAAATAAGTCTTATTGTCACCATAAAACCTTATAGACATTGTTTGAGAGAGAGAAGAAAAAAGTCAACTTACATTTATGACAAAGCAAAACTTTTTCAACTTGATCTCTAACAATGTTTAGATTGGACCAATATTTCAAAACAAACATCAAAATATTTGATGATGTACACTATATTGCCAAAAGTATTCACTCGTCTGCCTTCACACGCATATGAACTTGAGTGACATCCCATTCTTAATCCATAGGGTTTAATATGATGTTGGCCCACCTTTTGCAACTATAACAGCTTCAACTCTTCTGGGAAGGCTTTACACAATGTCTTTATGGACCTTGCTTTGTGCACTGGTGCGCAGTCATGTTGGAACAGGAAGGGGCCATCCCTAAACTGTTCCCACAAAGTTGGGAGCATGAAATTGTCCAAAATCTCTTGGTCTGCTGAAGCATTAAGAGTTCCTTTCACTGGAACTAAGGGGCCGAGCCCAACTCCTGGAAAACCCCACACCATAATCCCCCTCCACCAAACTTTACACTTGGCACAATGCAGTCAGACAAGTACCGTTCTCCTGGCAACTGCCAAACTTAGACTCATCCATCAGACTGCCAGATGGAGAAGCGTTGATTTGTCACTCAGAGAACACGTCTCCACTGCTCCAGAGTCCAGTGGCGGCGCTTTACACCACTGCATTCGACGATTTGCATTGCGCTTGGTGATGTAAGGCTTGGATGCAGCTGCTCGGCCATGGAAACCCATTCCATGAAGCTCTCTACGCTGTTCTTGAGCTAATCTGAAGGCCACATGAAGTTTGGAGGTCTGTAGCGATTGACTCTGCAGAAAGTTGGCGACCTCTGCCGACTATGCGCCTCAGCATCTGCTGACCCCACTCTGTCATTTTATGTGGCCTACAACTTTGTGGCTGAGTTGCTGTCGTTCCCAATCGCTTCCACTTTGTTATAATACCACTGACAGTTGACTGTGGAATATGAGAGCGACCCATTCTTTCACAAATCTTTGTAGAAGCAGTCTGCATGCCTAGGTGCTTGGTTTTATACACCTGTGGCTAGGAAGTGATTGGAACATCTGAATTCAATGATTCAGATGAGTGAGTGAATACTTTTGGCAATATAGTGTATTCATTGTCCTTCAAAAGAGCATACTGTGATATAATATCTACATTTTACTGATATAAGTACTAATACTACTATATCTGTTTACTAATATAAAATACAAATTTATCTGTACCCAGATAGCAAGCATATATTGGTCCACTGGCTTGATAAGGTCGGCACCCCTCTGCTGGTCCACCCTCGGACCACCCAGATTACTGTCTTGCATACAAACTCAAACTAGTTTTTAATCTCCTACAGATTTTAAATTCAAACAAACTTTTAATTTGAAAATAAAGTAAGACAAATATTACAAACAACTGAGAGAGAAAAAAAAGCCTGATATGAATTTTTATAGAAAATGGTATTGCTAACACTGTGCTAGATTTAAATTATTCACTAAACTAATTTACAGTATAACTAAAGATAGGTCAGAAGGAAAAATAAGTAAATTGGACTGTGAGTCGAAAAAGAGTGATAAGTAGAATTTTGTCTAATACTCTGCCAGTGGGCTGCCTTTATAACCCCAGTGCAAAACACCAGTGGTCCGCCAGCTTTGCCATCAGTGGGCCAACAGTGGCTCACTATCCTCTTGCTATTAGGGTTAAAGCTAATTCAGATGGATCAGTTCAGGGCAGCCAGTCAGAACTGAGCTCATTTACATATATTTGCCTTAAAGAAAGGCTCAGTAACACAAACAGCCTTCTTACGAGAAGATGGAATCTGTTATGTAAAAATTAATAATGACTGGTTTTGATAGTGCCGCACCAAAATTCTTGACCGAAACAGAAACCAAACAATAATCACAGTTATTATAAAAACAGTTTATATAAATTGACCTAAAATGAGTGTAATGTAGGCTACAGAATGTGCTACCAAATCTACCGTCCTCATTAATAGAGAACATTGGTCATCCAAGGCAAGTAACACGACTACTTTTTAAAATAATTTTTTTGTTTGTGAATTTTTTTCTGCATTTCAAGACAGGGGAGTACTAGTAGTGTCAATGTCATAGTGGAGCCTTCCCTCTTGGTTCTGTTTTGTTGTATTCTGGATATTGAGTGGGATGTTGTGTTTTCAAGTGGTCTCAAACTTGTAATGGATCAGTTTGTGAGTGTTGTACACTCTTGATAATTTATATGAAGAGTGATTACAAATCTTGTGTAATGTCCCTCATAAAAACTGCAAAATAGTCATGTAGCTAACATTTTCCCCGCTTTACTGTCAAGCTGCTGCTGCTCCAACTGTTTACATGCATCTGTGCTGATTGGTGCAAGAGAGCATAGGGAACAAAGTGTTTTTAAATTACTGTTTCTTGTTTCCATTATAATTTCATGATTAGTTAAGTCTTAGATTTTGACACTTCTTGTAGTTCTATTAAATTTTTTGGTCTTCTTTCCGTTTCAGCCAAAAAAAGAAAATGACACTTTTGACCATTTTTGGCTGAGATATTTCAATTGCCAAAATGTTTTGGTGCATGCCTAGTTTTTGGTAAATAAATATCATAAGTGAACCTCAGGAAAAAAAAATGTTTAAAAACCTGAAAAATGTAAGATACAGGCTTTAAGCAATTCAGTGGATTAGTCTTACTTGAAGGTTCAAATGAACTGCAGCGCTATCATTAGACCTTACTGACAACTGGTAGATGAAGTCAAAACAGGCGAGGCTGTAGAACTGAACATCCAAACTAAAGGGAGTTAACCTATCACTGTACGTTATCAGGCAGTGTGTTACAAACAAGGTCCAGTACCATCCAGAGCAGAGTAGCCTCTCCCACACACATTCACTCATAGGCTTATCAGCCCTGTACAATGCTGCGTTCATTCACAGCTGCTGGCCCTACAGTCCTGTGACATAAGGGCAGCTTATCTCTCTTGCGTAGATGGGGTATTGGGTGGCTATGAAAATACATTGTGCAGATCAGCAAATGCGAATGAGTGTAATGGGCTAAGAGGAACATGACAGGAGATGAGACAGAAAGACAGAGCCTTAGAACACAATGCATAAATACCCAGGGCAATGGGGTTAAACCAGGGGGGCACAAGAGATGGAAATAGACAGCATTGTGTAACCAACCTACTGCTGTACTATATTCATAACCAATACAGTGACGCATGTACCATTCCTTTTGTC